CGAAATTGTGAAAAATATAAGAAAATTTTAATTTTCTCGAAATTTTGTCACGCGGTATCCCTTCAGATTTTTCAAACACTTCGTTTATTGCCAACAAGTGCTTTTCCAACATGCTCGAACGATCGGTTTAGCATCCGGAGACATTCATTACAAAACCGCGTGACGTTGTCGCGGTTTCCTCGCGCGTTAATGAGAGCGCACGCACGTTTCAATAGCTGGATCCCGCGATGCCGCGACGAGCATCGGCTGTGTAAAAAACACGGGGGACTTCCAGACAGAGTGAATAAGATTTGAAACGTGGCTGCGTTCTCGCCACGTTGTTACCGGCGACAAAGTTAGACGCTTTGAAATAGCGAAGGGGGACTCCCCCGACGAACGCGGCGAATGCCGTTTTCAGGGTTCACCAGTAAAATATTTATAGACAGACGTACTCTCATAAACGTGCGATAACAAAATTAATAGCAAACCGATACGCAAATGCGTGTCCGCAATTTTATTAATAAACGTCTATGAAATTCCGTTCATTCAAGACAGTTTATTAAAAACAGTATTGCATAAAATATTCAGCAGCTCCTAAATTCAACTGAACTTAAAACACAAACCACTGTTTACTTACTAATTTCATTGTAACGTACTATCTATAAATTTTATATCTGACTTCGATGGATTAAAATTCTGCTATAATTTAATCTGCTGATATTCACAATCCACAAATATCCAAACTCAAAAATGCAGGAGCATGGAACTAATTGATTAGGAGATAAAGAATGTATACAAATACATCGAATGACAAATTGGATTGCATATAAAAATTCAATTACCCAATTAACGTGTTACAAAATTCAAATGCATACGAAAATGCAATTAAGTAATTAAATCAATGCATGAAGAATGCAATTGCATACGAAATCTCAGTTATCTATTTCATTAGCCACACTGCAAATGTTATGACTCTTCTGTTCATAGACTCTCGCCTGAATTAAACAAGTCGATGTAAAACTGATTGTGAATATCCAAAGAGAAAATGCGATTACATCGTGAGTATTGAAACGGTATCAGGAGATCCGAGAGCACAGTGGGATCCCTTCTCGAGAAATATGTACCAGGTCGACGATTGTCTGGGGTGAAACCGGGTAAGAAAAAAGGGGGTGCAAAATTACGAGGCGGCAAGGAAACAAAGGGGGCTGAAATTTGATTCATCCCGCTCGACCCGACCGGCACAAAAGGCCAGACGCACACGGACGTAAACAGGCTGGGTTCACAGGCGACGGTAATCGTCGTTAACACCTGCAATTAACTTTGACGTGGCTGGAATGTGGGACGCGCGACCCAAATACACCCGCACTCTCCACCCCCGTGGAGAAAAACGAGCAATTTCTTTGCCAGATATCCTGGCCGTATAAAAGAAACCTCGCGGTTTCACAGTTTCGGCACTGGTTTAAACCGCGAATCTTCGTGGCAGATAAATCTTTAACGGCGTCGATTCGAAAAATGGAATATAAATTCTGATTTCCATCGCTCTTCGATAATGACGATTAATTTTATTCTACATTCTGTATTATTATTATTAAATTCTCAACGTTTCTTCATGAAAATTATTATTCAGTTCTCTCAGAAATATTACAACTTAAAACCTTCTGTTTTTGTTACTGGTATCTCCAACTACCGGACGCTCCTATCTCTCACTGATTACTATCTGATCTCCGTTTAGCCAGCTGATAACTTTTAACAGGCGCCTTGCCAAATCACCGCCACTAAATTCTTAAACTCAAACAATTGACTAAGTAGTTTTACCTCAGCATTTCGATCAAATCGATAGCTTACAGATATTATATTAGGACGGAGATGTTATAATAAACCGGAGATTGATCGCAGAACGAAATGTGCAAATCTGTGAACCGCTGCATTTACTCAGACGATCTTTTCCTAATAATCATTATATTTACTGAGAATTATTTTTCTGCAACGTGTTCCACGAACTTTGAACTCGTCTTTCGTTTTTGCGACGCCCTGTACGCGACGAGCTAAAGATAGACGTGCAAAGGGAAGTCGGAGTGCCGCGGCTTGTAATTCCTGCCTCCCATTCGCTCGACAATTTCTCTCGGATCGATTCCGCGTTTTATTCGGACAGGCCAATCACGATCAATCGTCCTCAATCGTGAATCACAATAATTAATTAGCACATCGAGATCAGTTCACAATTAGTATCGTACAACAGGAGATGACGATTATTATTAATCATGTGAATAATTATTGCAGTTTCGAACAAAAGGACAGAAGGTGTATACCTTGCAATAAAATCAGGGAAACTGATTGATACGGTGACCCAAATTAATATTTCAATATCGATGCAATTTCCCTAGCAAATTTGATTACTCAAACACGTTGTAATATGTTGAAATATAATAAGACATAATCTGTGACGTCTGAACGGTCTCTCGAGCAAGTCATAATAGGATGATATAAAATTGATCTGATTACTGGTAACAGGATCACCGAGCGACACTCCCTATTATTGGTTTTCACATTTAACTGATGTCCCGTCGAGCGGTCTAATTATTCTAATTTTGCTTATTGACTAATCTTGCAAGCTTCCTGTATTACCGAGTCAACAGTAAAATACACGAAGACTGAGTTAAAGATGACCTAACGGTGATTCAACTTGTATTCACGATTACCTGAGATTCTCTGTATAATCACTCCATTAATTTAACTGTGATTTAAAATGAACTGCGAGGGAAGTCGGTCTTAATTCAATACTGAATCCCAGTTACAAATTACGTTAATAATTGTTCATTAACTAAACGATAATTCACCGGATCAACGACTACTGATTAAAATTTCAATTTCTATATTAAATCGTCTTGAATCTCGATTATGATTACACAACATGAATATCTACAAATAAAATGTGCAATTGAATCGTAACTCGATTTACATACAGCAGAATTCGAAACACGTGGTCGGTGCTAAGTATTTCCACAAGGAATCAGCCTTGTTCATCAAATCAGAGGGATTTGCTTATAGATTAGCGTCAATGCAGGCTTAAACAGATGATTTATAATTCATTTGCGGCCGCCAAGGCGCCGTACGTCGTAACAAAAATGCAAATCCCTTCCATATGAACGATTGCATCATCGTCCATTATCATTCTGAACGGGTTCTCGGTACGCGCACAGTTTATATATAGGGAAATTTTGAGAATTTTAAAAGCGGTCGCGGTCTGGAAATTATGTCATCGGCATGGATCGACGCTAAAGAAACTGTTTTGCGTATCTATTCGCGGATCTGACGTTCATATAGGAAGGTGAATTCAACTGGTGAAACATCGGACAAAATCAAGACTGATTCATCTTGTCAAAAATGTGTTCGATTCTTCTCCCATAAAAATTGGAGTAAATAATTTCTCAGCAATATTTTTGTTCTTAAAAAATTTGGAAAATCTGTTGCACGTGGAATGTGGGAATTAATTTTGTAACATGAAACGTAATCAGTGTATAAAGAAATTTTGATTACTGCTAATGAAAGGGTTAATTGAAAGAAAAAATGTACGGGTTGGAATCTCGTGCGAATAATTAACAAAGACTGTTAGAAGGAATTGTCAGTGGAGCCGCGTTAATTATGGCCAATTCGTTAATTACCAACGTGGCTACTACTCTCGCTAACGAGGCGACGGCCAGGGTTACAACCTCGTCCTTCGACTCTCCTTTTTGATTTAGAAACTTTCGTTGAATTCGATCGAAGGAAAAAGGTCTCGCGATATTTTAACGACTGAACGAATCTAACGAAAAGCGAAGACACCAAGGAACGCTTGCTGGTCTTGGGAAAACCAGATTGGCAAAGATCGTTTATACTAACTATCGATGTTTGTACGTGCAGATAAAAAGTTTGCGACTAATCTAAATCGAGCGATTATGTCATGGCAACAAGTGAAAAGATGGTGACGCGGTACGTGCGTCGAGGATGAATGAAAATGCATATTCAACGTGGCGGGCAGCGCTAACCGTGTTCAATGAACGCGTCGTAACACTTATTGTTAGACGATAGCGACAGAGCAATGAAGTTTTCTAGCTCGAGCACGAGACTATATTTAGTGATGAGCCAACTGGTTCATAACGCATGGAAATCGATTCGAAATTTTTTCCATTTTACTTTTTCAGTAATCGTAAAAACTTGTAGTAAGTCACGGATCTGTTCCCTTGATTCACGCCTTGGTTATTTAAATTTCTAATTTACCTACTCGAAAAGTGATTTAATCCATCAGATAGAAATTCGTTGTATTAATTACTATTATATTTCCTGTCCTGAGAGTAATCCATGCTATTCCAATAATACTTAAAACACTATAAACATACTGACCTACTTACGACTCTGCAAATATGCAAATGCAAACCATACATTTAG